TCATAAGGTCAAGCCTAATTATGCTAAGAGGGCTGTGCCCTCTAAGCTGGGACTTGTTTGTGGCTTTGCCAACAGGTCAGTCTGAGGCTTAACCCTATAGCAGCTCCCTACAATCCCCCAGTGTGGGGCATACAGGAGGCAGCCAATCAATGATTTTCTCTCATCATTGATGTTCCTATCTCTCTCTACCTCTTCCTTCCTCTCTGAAATCAATAAAAATGTTTTTTTAAATAAATAAATAAAATCAATAAATAAAAAATAAAAAACAAATAGTCTGGCCGGAGTGGCTCAGCGGTTGAGCATGGTTCTATTCCAGGACAGGGCATATGCCTGGGCTTTGGGTTCAATCCCCAGTAGGGAGCGTGCAGAAGGCAGCCGATTGATGATGTTTCTCTTATTGATGTTGCTATCTCTCCATCCCTCTCCCTCCCTCTCTCTCTAAAAATCAATAAAAACATATAAAAAACCAGACAACCAAATAAGCAAAATATAATGTACAAGATATTGTTAAATTATGGTATGTCCATATTAATCTCCATTAACAATCATATTGTGAATCAACACTTATTGACATAGATGTATACATATGATGTACTCTTCAAATGATAAATTGGGTTACTAAACAGCTTGATCACATAAAAATAAATTTGTAAAAAATTATGTAAAAGTATGTAAATATATGCCTAGAAAAAATATACAAATGCTAATGGTGGAAAAATATATAATCATATATATTTTGCTTATCTGTGTTTTATACTTTTTGTGCATTGTACTCTTTTAAATATTAACAAAATTAAAAGCTATTTATTGATGTTAGTTAATATTTTAATAGACAGGACTTTCTACTCAAAAATGGCAGGCACTCTTAATTCTATCCATAGATCCTGTCACCAGAAGCTTAGCTATGTGGGCTGTTCACCTTGACCTTAAGGAAGATTGCCATTCCTCAGTCACTTCCACAGTCCAAAGACACCTGTATAAACGGTCTCACAGAGATCTCTATTCTGCAACGCCCGCTTTGGAAAAGCTCTATTTTCCATGCGAGTCCCGTGCACTTTCTGTTTCTGATGCCGATGAGTATGTGACGGGCTGAACGTCCCCTTCGTGGGCGTCCAGAAAACCCAAAGCCAGTGTGAAAGTCACTGACCACAGCGTAGCCTTCCCGCTGCCTGGGCTTGTGTCCTTCAGGCCTTGTGCTTTGTCAGGCTGTCATTTTCTGCGATTCTTCTTATTTTCACTGGTCCTGGGAGTCTCCTCTCTCCCTCTCCCTCCCTATCACCATCATCATGATCATCACCTCCATTTTCCTGACAGCAGCCTCCCATCTTTGGGGATGAGGAACGGTACATGTAAACAAAACAGAAACAAACAATTCAGAGCCTTATCTTTGTGGGCACAGCATCGCTATGTTGACTTAGAGTGCACTCCGTCCATTTGTGGTATTGACTCCTTTTCGTGGTATCATCTTTGTCAGGTGTCATTTTCTGCGATTCTTCTTATTTTCACTGGTCCTGGGAGTCTCCTCTCTCCCTCTCCCTCCCTATCACCATCATCATGATCATCACCTCCATTTTCCTGACAGCAGCCTCCCATCTTTGGGGATGAGGAACGGTACATGTAAACAAAACAGAAACAAACAATTCAGAGCCTTATCTTTGTGGGCACAGCATCGCTATGTTGACTTAGAGTGCACTCCGTCCATTTGTGGTATTGACTCCTTTTCGTGGTATCATGTCCACGTCACTGGTCCCCGAACTGTTGCACCACCGGCAGGTGTTGGTGACACAAACATCCAGCCATGGGGCGTTTGTCAGGCAGGAAGGGTCATGGCCTGTGGAGAGTAAACAAGCCTTAGCGACAAGGCTAACGACCTAAAGACCTGGTGCTCTGGCCTCAGCTTGAGTGGGTCCTGCCTCTGGAGGGGACAGGAGCGGAGGAGAACGGAGGGGCGTCCCATTTACGTGTGCGATGGGACGAGGAGGGAGAGGTGGACTCCATTCCCCGTGAAGACTTGGCAGCGGCCCCTGGGCGTGGCTGTCCTCCCCTGGCTGGCCCTGAGCTACCGCTCCGTGCCCAGATGGACCCTGGCTTCCCTGCATTTCAACAGCCCACTCTCCCAAACCATGAAGCCCTTGGGGTGAGGGGAATAGGACCCGGCTTCCTACTGAGCAGGGCGGGTCCCTGGCTTCTCCCAGGAAGGAGTGCAGAGACTCTGTTTTGGTTCCAGTCCGCAGCGCAGGGTTCCATCAGACACACTCAGGACGGGCCCAGGCAAGACCCTGAGCGAGTCACTGAATCTCTCCGAGCCTCAGTCTCTCTGTACCTAAGATGATAACACCACCTCCTTGGAGGTTTGACTTGAGCATCACAGATAATAAAGAGCAGTACCGGGAGCATGGTGGCACCCAGTGGAGGGGTATTGCTATCATGCCTTTGCTCCCCCTCCCAGGGAGACCCTTCCTGAGCTGCAGAGCACTGGGCATCCCCACTCCCCCACACCCCTCTCCCCACTCCCC